GCTGCTTCCCCTGCCTGGAACTCTGTTCTTCCTCATTCTCCACCTTCAGGATTCCCTGGCTTCTTTCAACTCTCAGCTAGATTCTCACTCTCGGCCAGAAGCTTTCTCAGCCCTCGACCTTAGCGCCTTCCTTCTTGTATCTCCAACAAATCCTGTATCTAACTTGCTTATACTTGGTTGTTTGCATGTTTTTTCTCCTATTAGACTGAACTCCTAGAGAACTCTTTGTCTTTCTTTGCATCCCCAGTGCTCAGCACGGTGCCCGGCACACAGCAGGCACCTAATAAACGCTGGCTGGTTGACTTCAAGCAGGACTGGTGTTGCTTTGTTTTGCATAAGAAGGCAGAACCCAGAGTTATGAGCAGAAGTTGTAAAAAGGCAGATGCCACATGAAACTTTCTACCTATGCGCTGCACCAGAGAAGGAATGGGCTGCTTCAGGAGGTGGTGAGAAAATTGTATTTAACCATCCAGTAAGTGCTAACTGACTGACTCACTGGAGATCTTCCAGGAAAGGTTGGATGACCACGCCTCACACAAGCTGGAGTGGGGATTCTGAGCCAGGCACAGGTTGGACTAGAAAACCTCTGAGGCCCCTCCCAACTCTGAAATTTGGTTACTATCAAACTTTGATAATTCTTAACAAATTGGCAAGTGCCCTAAATGAGGTCTCTAGCACAGGCCTGGACCCAGTCCGAGGCAGTTTGCATCCAACTCTTTCCCGTGGCCTCCGTGTGCATCCTAACTGGACTGGTCACAAGGAGACACTGAAATGACTCAGTGGGAGTGATTACCACCACCAGGAGGGCAAAGTCATGCCTGAACAACCACCAGCCTGGGCAGCAATGCCGTGAAAGACAGCACATGTACACAGTGGAGAGCTGAACACTTCACAGAGATAAGATGGAAGAATCTATCCATTTGTCACTAGAGTTCCATTATTATTCTGGAGACAGCCTCCAGCAGACCTCCCATTCGACCACAGCCAAGAACACTGAACAGGAGCAAGGTGCCAATTAGCCCAAGACGTGAAGGGTGTGGTTAGCTTTGATCTGAAAGCCTAGACACAGCAGGCTTATCTTTCCACTATGAAGGCACTCACGGCAGGTTACCCACAGCAGGGCCAGACAAAGACTACGTGCGTCCTGGGATAACCTGTTACCTCAGTACGAGGCTATTCTCACTAGGCAAAAATGCCCACCCATGGATTGTGGAGGAGAGGGAGTCAGTCCCAGAGGCAAAGGGAGCTCAGGAGGTGATTTAATCCAGGCTCAGGGCCCTCAGCAACACATTCAAGACTGAGCCTGGAGCTTAGTGTTTATTTAAAAAAAGAAAGACCCAACTTAACAGGAATCACACAAGCCGATGAGAAGCTGGAAGGGTCCTGAGATCTTCTCTAATCCAAGCCTCTTAAATTACTGATGAAAACCCAAGACCCCTGAGAATGACAGACTGGCCCAAGATCACACAGGTCTCTATAAATAGCTGGGGTTTGAATGACCCCAAAGCACCACAATGTCCACCTTATTCTGGCATTCTGATCTGGAGAAGAATTAGCTTGAGAATCCCCCTAGCACTAAGATACCACCTGACGAAGAAATGAATCTATCTGCGAGTACTGGTACCTCAACTTAATGATTATGACCGAATGTATGTTCTTTTTTATTTATTTATTTTTAGTTTTTGTTTTTGCTTTTTGGTGAGGCAGTTGGGGTTAAGTGACTTGCCCAGGGTCACACAGTTAGTAATTGTCAAGTGTCTGAGGCCACATTTGAACTCAGGTCCTCCTGACTCCAGGACCAGTGCTCTATCCACTGTGCCACCTAGCTGCCCCTTCACGTTCTTTTAAAATGCTCTATTCTGTGACAGAATGAATAATAGGAAAAACAGCTTACATTTATGTCATGATTTATGGGCTCATCTGGTCCTCAGAAGCCTGGGTTTGCCATTTCCTTCTCCAGCTCATTTTACAGATGAAGAAACTGAGGCAAACAGTATTAAGTGACTTGCCCAGGGTCACACAGCTAGTAAATGTCTGAGGCTGGATTTGAACACAGGAAGAGGAGTCTTCCTGACTCTAGGCCCTGCACTACGGTGCCACCTGGCTGCCCCTGTGATATATATTACATATGAAGCAGTCTGCANGTCTTCCTGACTCTAGGTCCTGCACTACGGTGCCACCTGGCTGCCCCTGTGATATATATTACATATGAAGCAGTCTGCAAACTTTATATAAATGTTGGCTACGATTTTATTTTTGAGCAGATGGTTTCTCTATTTGGTTTTATCTTTGTCTCTAGAAAAGTACTCTGCATGAAGTAAGCACTCAAGAAATGTTTGCTAAATTGAATTAACTGAANNAATTTTATTTTTGAGCAGATGGTTTCTCTATTTGGTTTTATCTTTGTCTCAGAAAAGTACTCTGCATGAAGTAAGCACTCAAGAAATGTTTGCTAAATTGAATTAACTGAATTGAACTGAACCTATTCCTGGCAGTCTCGGGTAGGAGATGGAATATGAGCTTAATTGGCAAAACTGGGATGGAGTTTTAGCTCTGTTCTAAGTCGTAGGTGGTTCTGCAGAGTGGAAAAAACATTCTGAGGACCCATGTTCAAATCCCAGTTCTGCTTCTGACTACTCATTTAACACGGGGCAAGGCACTTAACCTGCCAGGCTGAGTTTCCATAGCTCTAAAGCTATGATCTTGTGACCCTGGACAAGTCACTTCCACGGCCCATGCCCCAACGTCCTCTTTTGTTAGATGGGAATATAAGTGTCAACCACTGTCTATCTCTCAGTATTGTTTTGGGAAAAACCTTCAATAGTGGGGATGAAAGTACTTTAGTTTTGTTGTTTTTAATCCTGAGCTTAGCAGGCACTAAATAAACTCATCAGCATTTCCATATATAAAGCAGAACAGAGAACAGGGCTGTACAGGAAGAGGGGAATCTATGTATGATTGGCACAGTGTTTACAGACAGCAACTGGACAGAACAGGGGAGAACATGATTGTTCTATGCCACATTGCCAGACCCAAGGCCCAAGAGAGCCGAGATGGGAGCAGCTGTCAGTGCAGACACAAAGCCATCCATGTAAACCATCTGAGGTCCCAGAAGGCTTCCATGCACCACACACGCAAGAGAAGTAGAGTCTGGAAGAAAAGGCTGAGCCAAGCCAACCCGTTTGTTTGGAATGGCTTGTCTTGTATAGACGTGATTTTAGAAGATGCAAACGGGAAGAAGAGTGTTGCATCCACTTACAGACCAAGAAAGTCCATGATATCACTGACAGAGTGAGTGAGTTTATTCATGCTGAGCCTATCTAAAAACTCTGCGATGGCATCTGAACTCCAAACAGGACAATTTTAGGACTCAAGTAGTTCTATGTCAGGGCAGCTAGGTGGCGCAGTGGATAGAGCACCGGCCCTGAAGTCAGGAGGTCCTGAGTTCAAATGTGACCTCAGACATATAACACTCACTAGCTGTGTGACCCTGGGCAAGTCACTTAACCCCAGCTGCCTCACCAAAAAAGAAAAAAAAATAGTTCTATGTTTGTATAAAGGAAAATAAAGAGATGGGAAGGGGTGGAAAGACTAGGCTTAAGGGACAGAGGACCTGGGTTCACATTCCACCTCTGATACCATCTGACTTTGGGTAAGTTACTCAAATTCTCTGGACCTTAGATGACTCATTTTACATGTGAGAGAGTTATAATAGATGGTTTTTGAAGTCGCTTCAGGTCTAGATCTATGAGCGAATGAACTTACTCAGAGTCACTCACCTTTGTGACCCCAGGCACTTAGCTTCTCTATGCCTCAGTTTCTTTATCTAAGGTGACTAGATGATGTCTGAGTTCCCTTCTAACTCTATGAGCCCATATGGCTTGTAATTGGTCATGAGTCTGTCCCTGGAAATATGGAATCTTCAAGGGGAGTGCCTTGGCTTTCAGCATGCTGCTAAATAAGAGCTACGGATCAAGACAGCATCAGCAAAGTGTCCGTGACCTGGCAAGACCCAGACTCAATGAGAGAGGAGGTTGCTATGGGGGAAAAGAAGCAAAAAATGAAGTTAGCATGCTCCCAGATTAAAGTGGTGGAGGTCCACCCCCATGGGAAGGAAGGAAGTTTTAGAAAAACCAAGTCCACACAAGCCTAGTATCTCTCAAAATCCAGGTCAAAAGCCCTTAGCTGCCAGACATGGCTGGATTTCCTGAGTTGCGTAACACCAACGATGCTGCTTATTTCACTTTGCCAGGAAGAGACTAGTTAACTCTAGTAAATACCAGCTTATTTATTTACTTATCCTGATAAATCAATATTTATTCCTGTCAATAAATAACTAGTTTATTTGTTTGTTTGTTTTGGCAAGTATTAGTTTATTATTATTTAAAAGGAAAACTTGAAGGTGAGTATCAGTAGAAAGTAGAGGGATCTCCCTACCTCTTCAAAAACAATTAACATCTAGATTCTGGTTTTCTATTTTTCGATAATCTCGAATATGAATATTTTCATCAACTTTCCCCCATCTGGTGAGGTATGATCCCACCATTCCTTAGGAGAAAGCAGTAAGGAGTACTGAGGAGTGACTCACTCATGCTGAGTCAGGGATAAGATGAAATGTATGGTGTCACCAGTGTATGGCAGCACCCTGTATGGTGCTAAGGTTGAGTGGAGGAGGTCATGGGAATTGAACGCGTTGGAGACCAGGAGGCTAGGGTATTTGAGGGAATGTATACACGGACAGACAAGTACCCCAGAAAAAGGGTAAAGGAGTTGAGGTGGGGGCATGAACTTCACTGGACCATAGCATAACTAATCTGAATCAACTTGAAAGGATCCCCCTGGAATATAGGTTGATAATTCGTAGAAGTATATATTGGCTGGCAACTTTCCAATGCCAATGACTACAGAAACTTCTCTGGGGAAAAAATGTATAAGGCAAGAGAAAAGGGATTTCCACAGACATTCCCAGGAGCAAGAAGAAAAGGAAAAAAAGAACCCACCTTCTGAGAATTGTAAGATGTCATTGCATTCCTCCTTCCTACAGGAACACATGAAGAAGGTCTCACCAGGAACCTTTTTTTCCTTCATTATGCATTTGTCAGAATTAGAATCCTCCAGGGCAAACCCATGGACCTTGAGACTAGGATCATGGCAGAGGGTTTCCATGGTTACATTTTTATCATTCTTCCTCCTGGAATTGAAAGAGGGAAAGATGAAGCGTTTTGGTTTTTTGTTTTGTTTTGTTTTGTTTTGTTTTGTTTTCGGGTATAGTAGGTAGTGGGGCAGGTCATCCCTGAAACACAGAAATCTCTCAAACTGTCCAGGGGAAGGATCTATTCTGTGTTTTGTAACCATCAAATCTTTCCACTCTGTATTAGCTTCCAAGGGGCAAGTGAGTGATGGTCAGGCTACAATGAATGAACTGTCAGTGAGAAAGAAAACCCAATTCTAGGGGGTCTAAATGAGGTTACCAGACCTGGGATCTGGATTCTGGACTCAGCTTTTCTACTTAACTTCCAATGAGACTCTGAGTGACCCTTCACGAGACCTCACTTTCCTCCTCTGTAAAGTCAACTGCCAAGAACGCTCAATACAGAAAGGAGGGCCCCATATACATTGAGATGTTAAGTAGATGCCCATCAATTGGGTGAGGGCAAAAAACACTTGTCACACCTGAAAGAAACAGACTATTTCTGGCCTCTTAGAAATGATGACTAATGGATAAATACAGAGGAGCATGGAAAGACTTAAATGAACAAATAATGCCAATCAAAGGCAGAACTGAAAACAAAATACACAATGACGACAACATTGTGTAAAAGAAACAAGGGGAAGAACGAAACGAAATTGAACCTTGTCCCTCCCGGGGTTCGTGTCAGCATCAAATGAGATGCTATTTGTCCAGCACTCTGTAAACCTTAAAGCATTTTTATAAATGCTAGCTATGACAACAACGATGACGACAATGATGATTTAAAAGGTTGGCCGCAGAAAAAAAGTGAGAAAATGCATTTCCTGCCTTCTTTGCACAGGTGGGAGATAAAAACGGTGGGATACTATCGATGGGCTAGTTACTCTTGCTAAACTGTCTTTTCCTTCTTTTTAAAATTCTTTGTTCAAGGGAGGGAGGATGGGTAGATTTGGGAAAGAAGGTGATATAAAAATAAATAATAAAACTATTTTAAAATGATAATAAAAATTAGATAAAATTAAATAGCAAGGTAGAGCTAGAAGATCAACACTGTAAGCTTGCTCTAACATTGTAAGGATTTTATCATTTTATACATCTTCCCTTATTTGCTCATGGGCATGAGCTAATAAGGGGAGGTGGGGGGGGGGGATTTGCAACTATCCTCCTAACTCCAAATCCACTGTCCGATTGGCTCTGGTGGGTTGCCAACCCTCCTAGTTTGGGCATCCTAAGCATCTTAAAAAGGTCACTCGCCTGACCAAGGCCCCTGTTCTCACTACTAGTTTACAGTTTCAAGCAGAAGGGACTGTCCTACAAGGAGATTTCAAATACTTACATCTTGAAGAGGAGGGAGTGGGGGGCATGGGAAAATGCAGAATTCTTGTGATCCCAGGGTGATGCTAAAGCCAGGCTCTGAACAGGACTAGAGCCCATATTAGCCTTCTCTAGTCTATTCTGAGGAGTTGGGTTCCTATTTAGCTAGTAACTGTTTTCAAAGAGGAAGCACTGAAAAGGAATCTTGCAGCCTCCCAGTTCTGCCTTCTGGGCCCCTGAAAGCTGTGTGAAGGCAGGCTTTCTGTGGAAAGTCTCCTCTGCCAGAAAAGATAGAAAACCAATCATGAATGAATGTCAATGCTCATATCCTCCGAGAGCACCAAAAACACCAGGGGGATGTTGTTTACTTGAGAAACTACAAACACATGGCAAACGACTGCATACGGTTTGCTGATGGCTGGGGAGGGAGACGGGGCTGGTTTGTTTACAGGTCAGCCATCATAAACCATCAAACTGTGAGCTGGCTGATTTGAGTCTCCTGGAGTCTCCTATTGGAGTATCCCTTAATGCCCATCATCCATGTAGGGTCTAAATCAGTCCTAAATGGAGCTCTGAGCATCTCACAGCCTCTCCCATGTGGTATCCTCTTATTGTGAGTGAGGAAGGAAAAGCCCCTTTCTAGGTGCCCTTTGCTGGTAGTACAGAGAATAACAAAGTATATTTTTAAATGCAACCACCATACCCCACTCCTGTCAGAGAGGTAACAGACACAAGTTGCAGAGAAACACATTTTTGGACATGGCCCCTGTGTTTTCCTTGACTGTGATTATCTGTAACAAGTTGCTGGTTTTGTCCCCCCTCTTGCAGTTCTGAATTGGGGGAGGTGGCAATAGTGATACAAAGAAAGTCATTGTAGCAGTTTTTTTTAAATACTGAGGTTTCATATCACCTCCAGCAAACAGGCAAAGATGATAAAAATAACAATAGTCAATAACAGAGGGGCTGTCAGATGAAAAACTAATACATTGTTGGTGGACTTGTGAGATGGTACAACCATTTAGGAAAGCAATTTGGAATTATGTGAATCACTTTGAACCACAGACTATTACTGGGCTTATTATATACCCCAAGAAAGTCACTGATAAAAAGAAAATTTCCTTATAGACTGTAACATTCACATCAGCACTTTTTGTGAAAGCAAAAAATTAATGGGGAACAAAGTAGATGCCCATCAATTGGATGATGGCTTAACAAATTGTGGTCTATGAAGATAATGGTACATTACCATGCCGTAAAAACAACGGATGTAATGGATTTAGGGAAGTATGGGAAAACCTACATGAAATGATAGGGTGAAGCAAATAAAGCCAAGAAAAGCGATATGCACAATGATGACAAGGTAAACAAACAAACAAAAAACCACCCCCCCACCCAAAAAAAGGGAATGCTGCACAACTGCTAAAGACAAACGGCTCAAAAGAAAGAGTTAAGAAGACATCCCCACCCTCCTGCAGGTCACCCTCCTGCAGGTAGGAGTTCCACAGGCATGGTACGTTGCATATATTTTTCAGACTTTTTCAATGTACACAGCAGTTATGTTGATTTTTTTTCTTTTTTAAAAAATGTTATTTGTTAAGAAGGCAAAGATAGTGAGGGAAATTCTGGAGATAATAAAGATGGCATCAACAAACTTATTTTTTTAATGCATAGAAGAACAAAAGGAAACACAGCCAGGTGGACAGATCTGAAAGTAATTTAAAGATTTCATATATACATATGTATATATGTGTATATATGTACATGTGTATATACACATACATATACATATATACACATACATATATACACACAATACACACACATCTACAGAGAGGGAGACGTGTCCATATATATGCGTGTGTTTGTATGTATACATATCTGTATCTACAGTGTTATGAAATGGAGATACATGATTTCATACAAAATCTTCTTCTTCTGATCTCCTATCATGTATCTGGCATGATGCTAAGCACTTTACAAGTACTATCTCATTTGACCCTCACGATAACCATGAGAGGTAAGTGCTATTATTATTCCCATTTTACAGTTGAGCAAACTAAGGCAGAGGTTAAATGACTTGCCCAAGGCCACACTGTTATTTTGTGTCTGCGGCTGAATTTGAACTCAGGTCTTCCTGACTCTAGGAAGACTGTGCCACCTAGCTGCCATCTTCTCAAGTGCTAGGTTTCACCTACTCTCTCTAGACACTTCAACTCAGCCAACATCTATTATTGAAGATAGCAAGAAAAAAATGAAATTGCTTCGGCCCTCAAAGAGCTCACATTATACCCAGAGAAAATACTAGATAGGCACAGACAAGTATATGCAAAGTAGAGGAGAAGGAGATAGAGAGAAGAGGAAGGAGAAAGGGAAAGAGAAAGTAGAACTAGGGGCAACAGGGAAGAGTCCCCTTACAAGAACACCTGTAAGGAAGGGAGGTAACACCTGGTCGGAAGCTACCATGAGTTTGAAAAGCACCAAGTAACATTATTCAACTAGTCAATGCTAACTGCATTGATTAAGCACCTACTGTGTACAAGGCATTGCCCAAGGCACTAGGGATACTGAGACAAAAACCAAAAGGTTCCTGTCCTCACAAGATTAAACAGGAAGAGCCGTTGGCTGGGGGGAGGGATGAAGGATGTCTCACCACACGGCCACGCAGATTTCATGGACTTGTTCACAGATCGCTGTGATGCCACAGTAACTGAAGCAATTCCTGTCGTTGGTGCAGTTGGTTGCTTGTACATCACAAAACTTGCAGAGGAGTGCAGACTTTATGGCGCCATTTTCCTCGGTGACTGGAGTTCCATCAACTGGAGGAGAAGAACACCATCACAAAGACGTGAGACCACTTGACAAGTGATTGTGTCTCTGAGGTAAGTCAGACTGTCCCAAGAAACAGGGGAGCAAGTCCTGTACCATTTTAAATGAACTCCATCTCTTGGCTAAAGAAGCCACCCCAAACCCCTCTAACGTTGTTGTTGAGTTGTTCTGTTCCTGTCTGACTCCGTGTGACCCCATTTGGGATTTTCCTGGCAGATATACTGGAGCGGTTTGCCATTTCCTTCTCCAGCTCATTTTACAGATGAGGAAACTGAGGCAAACAGGGTTAAGTGACTTGCCTAGGGACACACAGTTAATAAGTGTCTAAGGCTAGATTTGAACTCAGATCCTCCTGACTCCAGGTCCAGTACTCTATCCGCTGTGCCATACAGCTGCCCAAACCCCTCTAATACCACAACAGATTATTACTTAGATGTACAATCATCTTCTGATAAAATCTAGAGTTATGAGAGACAAGACAAGAGCCAGCTGGAGGTAGGGGTGGGGGAGAAGGGGGGTCAATAAAGATAAAAATCACTTCGATGTGGTGCCTTACTGTTGGCGAAGCTTTTTATGCCCTCAGCTCCTTTATTACTTAGCTTCACAGAGACAACATCACTTTGACTACCACAACGACCAAAAATTTCATTGAAACTCATTTCATTTTTTTTCCTGACCCACACAATGGGCCTGTAAGAATCTCACTTAGCAAGTGTTGGCATCAAATGACCCCATTCTCCTTCCGCAAAAGAGAGGGCAAGAAGGAAAAAGAAGATTTCTTTTTGAAAAGTAACAAGAAGGATGAAAAAAAGTTTACGCAATTGCAAAAAGACTGGAAGGACCATAGGATCAGAATGGGAAGGGTCCTCCAGAGGCCATTTTGTCCAACCCCACCATTATATAGATGAGGAAACTGAGGCCCCTACAGGATCTGACGTTGGGTGGAACCACCAAGGCCATCTCTTTCCTCATCCCATATTTCAGAGAAGAAACTGGGGTTTAAGGAGATTAAATGACATGCACGGTGTTAATTGGGGGTCTCAGACAGAAATTTGGATCTGGGTGCTCTGTTTCCAGAGTCAAGGCTCTTTCCAAGTATATCCTGATTCAAGTTGAGGTTGCTCTCATGGGCATATTCCAATGATCAAATCAACAAATATTTACAAAATGCCTACTGTGCACACACATCCAAGATTCTATGGCAGGCACTAAATGACAATATGACATAAGAGTATATTATACAAACCCCACATTCTGACTTCCCAAGAATATTCTCCTGAAGGCAGGGGGATGGATGAGATGACCTCCCAGGGTCCCTTTCTGTCCCATATGCTTTTATGCTGCATCCCCAATACACTCCATTCTCCATCACCAGCTCCACTGTCCCATGGGCATCCCACCTGTTTCCTGGGTCACCACAAAAACATATAACTTTAGATTGGCTTTTTTGTGGTGGCAATAAATATAGAAATTTTTTTTAAGACCCATTCATTCCTCTTGGGCTTCAAGTATATTTCAGGAAGCATATTTTTAGGTAACAAACATAAGGAACTTGGTCTGGGAGACACACTGCACATTTCAAAAATAGCTTAACTATAAATACCAGCAGCCATGTTTCTGGATCTCATGTTAAAATTGGGATTAGTACAACAATGCATTTTTTTCTACTAAGATAGGAGTCAAAATTGTTCACATACAATTTTAACTTTTTATAGCTAAAGCAAAAAAAAAAAAAAATCTGCCAAACCTAGAGAGACAGACTGTCTTTTTTACAATGATATACATATATATATATATATTTAAAATGTTGTGATGTATGTGTGCCTTCTTCGATGAATAGCCAAGACACCTTCTATACCTTCAAATATTTCAGACAAATATCAAATATCAATTTAAGGAGCACTGTCCAATGGAAAGAGTTTGGGTGCAGTCCCTATGTGGATTGTTTTCCTCATTTTGTGTTCATTTGCAGAGTATCATTAAGATCTTATTTCCTAGACTAGGATTCGTGCATCTTCCCTGGTCTACAGTTAACAAAGACCCCGTGGACTTTTTCCCATTGTTTGCTTTGTAAGAAATAACAATGCTGTCCAGGGCACTTGGAAGATTCATGATTTCTGCTAAGACACCTGGATCTTTTGCTGAGCACCGACCGTCACACCCTGAGGGGCTCTCAAACGTGATAAAATCAAAGTAGAACAGAAAGAAATCTCTTCCAGGTAAGAGAATTAACTTGGAAAACCCAATGGTTCCTCTGAGAGCCCCATCTCTGACCTGGCATTATTTTTCTTTCTGACATTCCTTCTATCTCATGTCATTATAGAAAAACAGATTTCTTGCCTTCCCAGGCTTCCCAGACCTGGCTGCTGTTTCCTTGAGCTCCTCTGCCCAGCCCAGGCTTTGAGAGGCCCACGGGCCCAGAAGCACTGGTCACCATCTGGATCCACAAGTTTCTATAAGTAGGTTTTTAATTGAAATTGGCACTTCAGAGCAAGGTACTGGGAGCAGCCATCTGACTCCAAGCCAGTGGGATTCTCGATGCTGGCAAAGAATGAAGCCCATGCCAATTTGGGGAAGGGGAGGAGGGTGTTAAGTACATCTGGCATGCATGAATACCCTCCCCAGATTGGAAGAGAGAAGGGCCCACCTAGAGTGGTATACAATGGATACCATGATGTTTTTTCAGAAGGCAAGGATCCCAGGAAGGTCTCAGTTTATCCATTAACTGGACTTTCTGCTAAGATGACCAGCTGAATGGGAGGTAGGCAATCGCTCACCTTCTCTAAGCCTATTCCAGCAAAGCTGAAATTTGCACCAGACCAAATCACAGCTAAGAAATTCAATGAGAAATAATGGCAACTTTATACATCTCACAACTACGCAAAAAGCCAGCCACCAGCCCACAGTTAATAGGAAAGGGGCTCTCTGTACCAAAGCACATACTAGGGAGACAAGAGACTGACATGTACCCTGAAAAAGTCCCAGGGTTGTCAGAAAGGCCCCATGTGGGAACCTTGGAAATGATGGAAAGGGACAAAGTGCTCCAGTAATCTGACCAAGATCTCAGGCTCAGGAGCTCTCAAATCACTAATACTCTGACTAGGGAAGCCAGAGGCGGGCCCTGAAGATCGGGGCCCTGAACTTCAAAGATCCAGAGAAGCCTAACCCTTAGATCAGGTCAACCCAGGAACCCAGGAAGTGGGGTGATGGGAGCACTAGGAGTAGAGTTTACTAAAAGACAACAAAACAGCATTCAAATTATTTCAAATTTACAAATCCCTCAAAAGGAGGAAGTAACTCCAGCAATGACTCAAACAGGAAAAGAGATTTTTCACAAGGACTATATGAATCCCTATTAGAAATAAGATGTTTTTAAGTCTGCCCTTTTTTTTTAAATTTTAAGTCTTGGCCAACTATTCTCAAAAGACTGAAGATAATCTGGGGATGTTTAGACTAGGGAAGAGAAGACTATGAGGAGATATACTGTAGCTGTCTTCAGGCATATGAAAGGCTATCATAGACGAGCTACCAGATATTCCACTTGGCCCCAAAAGGAAGAACCATGAGCAATGAGTGGAAATTGCAAAACTTCTTAACAGCCAGAGCTATCCCAAAATGGAATAGAAAGGTGGGGGGCTCTTCCTTAATTTTGTTTATCAAGCAGGTCACCTGGTGATCATGTGATGAGAAGGCAGGCAAGGACTCTTTGAGGAATGCCTGGGAGTCAGGAAGACGTGGGTTCAAATCTCACTGCAGACACTAGCTAGCTGCATGATCCTGGGCAAGTCACTTACATCTCTCAACCTCGGTTTCCTCATCTATAAAATGAGGGGGGTGTTGCTTTCCCAGAGCCCCTTGGAGCTCTAAATCTATAATCCTATGACTCAATGGCCACCAAAGTGTCTCCTGGTTCTAAAATTCTGTGATTATCTCCATAATCTAAGATTGACAGGGACCTTAGCAATAGGTTATCTGGTCCTACCCCTAAATTTTATAGATGAGGTGAAGTAATTTGAACCCAGGTCAAAGGATCTTAAATTTAGAACCAGATAGGAACTTAATGCTAAGTGGTGCAGTACACAGAGCACTGGGCCTAAAGTCAGAAAGACTCATTTTCCTGAGTTCAAATCTGGCCTAAGATACTTACTAGCTGTATGACCCTGGGCAAGTCTCTTCACTCTGTTTGCCTCAGTTTCCACATCTGTAAAATGCGCTAGAGAAGGAAACCATCCCAGTATCTGTGCCAAGAAAAGCCCACAGAGTTGGACAAGACCAATAAAACGACTAAACAACAACAAATTAGCCCTCAGCCTACTGCTTAGGACATAGTAGTCCCTTATTAAATGTTTATTGTTTGAACAACAACAAAGGAACTTAAAGGTCTCTGACTCTAGGCTCAGGGTCTTTCCATTCATCATACTGCCTCTCATCACGGGTGTTAGCCACAAAATAGTCTGCTATTTTAGCAACAGTGTAATATTACACAAATCTTTCTCTTCTTCTGAACTCCTTTATTATCTATCCTGCCCTCTATTCCTCTGGCCAGTAAGTATGCAGTTATCTTTTCATGTGGACATCACGGCTTCCCAGCTAGATGTAATAAAGAAGACAACACTTAAACATTAAGAAAGCACTTTACATATTGTTATCTCATGGGATTCTCCCAACAAAACCTTGAAGGTAGATGCTCTCTATGGGTATCATTATACCCAATTACTAGATGGAGAGACTGAGGCATAAGAATAAATGAGTTGCCTGTGGTCACTGAGTTTCTCCTGGTTGATGGCATTATTCAATCCTAGTCTCTCCTGATTCTCTTGCCCTTGTATACAGTACTGAAAGTAGGAAGCTGGGGGGCGGCTAGGTGACACAGTGGATAGAGCTCTGGCCTTGGAGTCAGGAGGACCTGAGTTCAAATCCAGCCTCAGACACTGGACACTTACTAGCTGTGTGACCCTGGGCAAGTCACTTAACCCCAACTGCCTCACCA